GGATTGCTAATAGTCAAGCTATTTTGAATTTGGCTCTTTTAATTCAATCTGCTTTTGACACTACATGTACATGGCAGTGACACGAGATCAAATATGCTAATGATCATAGTGTATGGGTTATCTTGTCAACAACCTGTAATGTTACGTCATTTTGAAGAAATTAAGGAAAGTACATTTGTGTTTATAGATTCTTTATGTTGAGTGCCAGTCTTTATGCCTTAAGAGTGTAATTCGTGATCAAAGTTGCATCATGGCAAGTGAACTGTGATTGAGGTTGTATGAGAAGAGTACCAGTGTTGTGCGCATGTTTTGGTAATGTTAAATTTACCCGAGTGAAAGATCAAGAGATTGTTAAAATGTCTTTAGCTATAATAGCTTCTGGTGATAGCTGTGCTTTGCCACCTTTGTAACCATGAACATTTGTGTATACCAATAATGACCTAAGACCATGAAGTGAATGAATGTTGCAGCTAGTAGCATCATCACAGCCAAGGTCAGGAAGGACTGGTAGTGTAGTTATTGTAGTAATCCCAGATACCCATATGCTGTGAGAGCCATTAAGATAGTTGTATAATTAGTTACTTAAGTGTGCCTTTCGTCACAGTGTTATACCATATATAACTGAAGTTATGTATTAAGATTTTTTTTTTTTTTTTTTTTTTTTTTTTTGTAAGAACTGATTGGTGGTATTTACTAGTTTTAAATCTGGCCTTAGAATAGATTTTAACTATAAATACTGTATATTTAATGCAAAATTATAAAATGTTATGGTAAAAATTAAAAATGAAAACCTATTAAAAAATTCTTATTAACCCCTTGACTGTTGCAACCCCAAATCCTTAGGTGTCTCCTGGTGTCACAAAATCATCCCCCCCCCCCCCCCCACCCACCCAAAAAAAAAAAAAAAAAAAATTCTTATGAAATGATAGAGAATCTTTTCCCGATTGTAGTGACACCAAATGAAGGAAATTTTATGGAATTATGCTCTCGTGAAGTTAGCAACCTCAGCGATATTTACGAATTGGCTATTTCGCCCACTTTGAGCCCTATTTTCGGCTAATTCCATTACTCAAGTCTACCAAACTCATAGCTATTTCTTTAGAACTCCATTTTTTCTATCGATTGAGTACAAGAAACTGCCCATTTACCGATTTCAAATACCCAATAACGTGGTCAGAAATTTGCAATTTGGCCAATTTCACGAAAATTAAAAAAATGACAATTTCAAAATAGGGTCCAGAATGAACAATGCAGACATTCCTGGCTCTAAAACATTTTCTTTGTTCTTCAGTCACGTCTCCAGGCCCCTCTGATATTACACTTGCTTTCTATTTTGAATTTTTATTCAAACAAAAAATAGAAGATTTACTGTCATGCAGACTACTGCAATATTGCAATAATTGTATAAATAATGTCAACCCATTCATGACTGCATATTAGAATGGCTACTTGGACATTTATTGGAAAAAGACATCATTTGTTTACTTTTGAACATCGGCAAAAATCAAACATTTTCCCTACTTTGAGCTCCGTCTCAAGGTTCTTTTCATAGTAAAACCAATCAAAATCACCTCTATTTCTATAATATGTTTTACAACCATAAATACTGTTTGGAAATAGACCACAAAGTCGGCATTTTAATTAAAAAAATTTTTTTTTCTCATTATGCACTGTGTGCTGCAGGATCATTTTTATATGGTGCACACTGACCACACAGACCCATTCTCTCACATGGGCCTACCAGCTTTCTCCTGCTTGATTTGAAGCCGCTAGAATTTGAGTATATATGCGTTAAACACGGTGGCTCGAAAGACGTATATATACGACCAAAACAGTCAAAGGGTTGAACTTTATCCAACAGTGCTCAGAGTACATTTGAGCACAAAATGTATATTGTTCATAATTGGCCTCTTTATGTAAGTGACGGTGGATTATGATCATCATTGTTGTAGCTGTGCTGGGTGGCTTCGGCTCCCACGGGGCGGCCATGACATAGAGGCTAAGCTAAGCACTGCTATGTATGTTTGCCATGCATGGTAACCCATTTACTCTTTATTTTCACTTTCCTGAAAAACTGAGTTTGCTCATGGAGTTCCTAAGTTGGTGGAAGGATAGAAGTTATATGGGAGGTTAGTGCTGACCCCACCGAATCAGTTGGTCTCACTTTTTTCTTAATGTCTGACAGTACAGTGTATTTGGATTGAGTCAGGTGATCATCAGAGGGTGGGAACGCTTATGGTCCTGTGGCTGTCATTTAGTCCTCCAGTAGACACTATACTTCTTTGTTAGTTCTGGGGTCATTTTAGTAAATGTGTAAGCCTTTCCATTTTCTTGATGGGTGGGAAATGGGGTGCTGAAATTTAATTGATTATTGTTAAGGATTCCTCTGTACTGTTCCTGACTACAGCTCCAGCTTTGTGGTGGAGTTTATTCCACTGGCCCTTCTTATCGTTTCTTCCCTCAGGGAGAACCTATGTAACCCCAGAGGTCAATGTAACCATCAGCAACTCCACCAAGAAGAGGGAGAAAGAGGGGAAGATTCTAACAGTCCTTTCGCCTTGGGAGAAACCACAAATTTTTGACAGTCCTCAATGACAAACTTGAATTTGTAAATATCAGTGACTGACATTCTCGCATGTTAAAAACACTTGATTAGTGCTCATTATTAGCCATTATTGGCAACCTAAGCCTAATAGGCCTGGCCCCAGGCATAAGAGTTTGAAAGCCTGGGGGCCAGCACTTTAACTCCAACCTGACACCATGTAGGATGTCAGCTGCATCCTGTAGGGGGTGTACAGAGAAGGGCCCAAATGCTTGACCTGTAATTTTTAATTGCACTTTAACGCCTAGTTAAAGGCTACATTGTGGGAATATTGAAGACTTTTAAGTGATTTGTGGATCTCTGGACGCGAACCTCTTCAAGGGGGGCTCCTTGGTGTGGTGAAGAGGCTCTTGGTCTGAGGAATTAGACCTGTCGGTCTCCTTTCTCAGATCGAACCTAATTACCCCCCAATCCCCCGTTCCCTATCCCATCCTCCTCCCCTTTTTCCTTTCCTCCTCCTCCCCACCCCTCCCTTTTGCCCTTCCTTTTTGGCCTTTGGGTTTTTTTTTTTCCACAGGCATGCTAGTTCCTAGGTAGGGGAAAGGGTACCGGGGTCCATCCCATTCCGTTGAGGTTCTTGGCGGTGGCGTAATTTGCAGTGGAATCTGGATTGCCTGGGGATGTCCCGATCCCTCTCCGGTATCCCGGTGGGTGGCTTGGGTGTCTCTCGGCCGACGGGTGTATCTCTGGAAGCCACCTTTCGGATTCCGGGGGTGGTGGCCGAAGGAGGTATGCTTTGTGGCAGATTTCCGGCCGCCCTCTCTTTTGTCCACCAAGGTAGCTCGGCAGATGTGAGGTTGCTATCCCGGATTGCCGGTTTACTGGCATGATGGGTAGGGTATGGCAAGGGTTCCATGCTGCATCTGCGCTACTTGCAGTGCTGAGGTCCTCTTGGGCGCGGAGGGAGATTTCTGGCCCTTTCATTCCTCCTAGGAACTATACCTCCCCGGTCTTCCCTTTTTTTATTCTTTTTTTATTTTTATTTTCTTTTCTTCTTTCTTTTTTTTTCTTAAAAACAAAAAGAAAGAAGTAACCTAACCATGGCAGCCCTAGTCCATGAACCTGCTACCCCCGGGCCCCTTCTTGATACCGCACCCCGTTCTGACCCCACCTCGTCTTTGGACCACTCTTCGGACACTCCTCGTGCCTCTGTACCTCTTGCCGGTGCTGTTTCCTCCCCCGCTTCAGGTACTGAGGCCTCGACTGACTCCTTCGATTTAACTGACCTTCGCTCTCCTTTGACTATGCTTCTGGCCTCTCCCTCTACGTGCGGCAATTTTCGAATCGCCGGCCCGTTCCACGTCGGACCAACTCTGGTCCTATGCCTAAACGCCAACGACAATTACCTGCTGATGATACTTCTCCACCTTCTCGTTCTTCTCAGAAAGGATCGACACGTCCTTCACTAGATTTCCACGCTCAGTTTCAGACTGCACAATGGACTAAATTCTTCACTTTACGACCAACTTCCTCTACTACCTATCTTTCTCTTCCTCTACTACCTATCTTTCTGACCACAGTATTGGCAAGGCACTCCTACACCATGTTGGTAAAGATATTTCTTTTCATGCTCTTAAGAGCGATACGCGCATCATCACCGTACAGAATGCTACCCAGGCTCATGAGCTTTCTCGTCTTTCCCATATCGATACTGTTCCTGTCACTATTGAAAAACATCATTCCCTCAATTCTTGTAGTGGTACCGTCATTCTGCCCCATACCATAGTTCAACAAAATTTCCAGACATGTGGCACTGACATTCTTGAACAGCTGGAACTCCAAGATCTCCCAATCCTCAAGGTAGACACTTACGTTCTTCCTGCCCGCGGGCAGAGACGATACCCTAGCAATGTGGCTCGTTTAACTTTTGACTGCCGTGAACTACCATCCTCAGTCTATGTAGCAGGACATAGGTTACAAGTTAGAAAGGTGATCCCTACACCGCAACAGTGTAGAAATTGCTGGCGATTTGGCCATCCAGCGAAATATTGCAGATCTATCGCCGAATGCCCAGTCTGTGGTGCCGACGACCATTCTAATACGTCTTGCAATCGACCTCCCTCTTGCCTTAATTGTCATGAGGCTCACCCTTCGTACTCTCGCCGTTGTCAAGTCTACTTAAGCGAGCGGGAAATCCGTCACCTCAAAGAGGCAGAAGGTCTCCCTTATGCCATGGCAGTTTCTCATCTTCGCCTCCAAGGGAGACTACCTCGTGTTTCTTATTCCCGTGTTTCAAAATGTCCCCCCACTTCTGGGATCCCATCTTCTACAACCACCTCTGTAGTTACCTCTCCCATAGTCACTCCTGTATCTAATTCTTTTGCTGTCCTAGGCTCAGACGTCCCTACTTCAACGCCTCAGTCTGATCTTGCTTCTTCGTGTTCTCCCTCACAAGCCTCAGTAGCGACGAGATCTCGTATAACACCTCCTCCCAATCGTCCCTCTACTTCTCAAAAGTCAAAAAAAAGGTCCGTTAACACCTCCTACCCATCTTCCACCTCCTCATTTTACCTTCCCTGTCTCTGTACCTGGTTCTTCCCCTCTCACTGGCTCTGTTACAAGTGTAGAGGTTCACCCTCCTCCTCGTACTGTACCTTCATCCCCTGTTCCCTCCCAAGTTTCTTCCTCTTCTGCCATCTCCCAGGTTTCTGCCTCTTCTGTCCCCTTCCATGCTTCTCCAGTTCCCTCCACCCTTTCGCCCCCCCCCCTCCCTACCTTGGTACAGTCCATTACAGTTCCAATCTTTGCTCATCCTCCCCCTACCATTTCCAATATTGTCTCCCATACGACGTCTCTGAATTCTGAAACACTTGAAGCAATCTCTGAATATATTGCAGAGACCAAACCATCAATGGACACTGATCCACCCTCCGCTCCTTCTCTCTCCTCTACTCCATCTGCGCAACTCCTTTCTTCACAGCGCACCGTTCCTTCGCTGCTTGAACGTTTTCCACTGCCTCCGCATGTGGACTTTTCTAACCCCTCTAGTCCGTAGGAACCCTTACCTGCGGATTTCAGGTATCTTTATCATTGCCAATCATGGCCTATTTACAGTGGAATATATGCGGCCTCAGGGGTAATTGGGGTGAGCTTCAGATGTTACTCTCCCAGTTTTCCCCTGTTGGTGTTTGCCTACAGGAACCAAAATTACACTCTGCTGTTATCTCTCCCATCTCAGGCTATAATTTATTG